TACTCCTTCAACTATTCCTTCTTTATTTTGCATTGGCAATTTCTCTCTTCAACTGATCACTCACATTAGTATATAAATATGCCTTGATATTTCCCATCTTAAAAAACGACACACCAAAAAGGTTCCACATCCCTCCAAAACCAAATTAAAAAAAAAAAAGAAATCTCCCTTTAACAAACAATCTTTTCCAGTTATGAACCCATTTATCTATCCCACTTCACAAAAAACACCTCAGAAGGTCTTTCTACAATCAATGTCACTTCTTTACTTTCTATTCACTCTTCTACTCCTCTACTAAAACTGCTCGTCAATGACTTCTATGTTCCCAAGTCCACTGGATATTTCATCTCATAGGAGGATTTCACATAAATGATTACTCTTTCTTTCCAGAAATTCTCTTAGTTACCAAATTATTACTTTCTCCTGGTTTTCTCTCTATCCAACTGGCCATTCCTCTCAGTCTTTACTGGTTCATCTTCCTCTAAACTTCTAAACCAGAATTCCCAAGGCTAAATCCCACTGTATGCTTCTGTCTGTATCTGTCTCTCTCTTTGGAGCTAGTACTGCACTCTCTTCCTGGTTGACCACACTGGTACCATGAATTTAGACATCATCTTTACATTGATGATGACCAGATCTGTACCTCTAGTACTGACTCCCACCCTAAGTTCCAGACTCATATATCCTGCTGCTTACTTCAAGATTCTACTTGGATTTCTACAAGGCAACTAAAGTTTAACATTTCCAAAGCAGAACTTTTGGTTCTCCCAAACCCTGACTCCTGGATCCTTCTCCGTCTCAATAAACAGCATTTTCATAATCCAGCTGCTCACATACAAAACCTAGGAGTCATTCTTAATTCCTCCTTTTCTCCAGTTTCCCACATTTAATCCATTAGTTCATCTCCCATAATATATTGGGATATATAATATTAGTTTCAAGTATATAACACAATGATTCAGTATATATTGTGAAATGATCACAACACTAAGTCAACATCCTTTACCACACATAGTAGCAAACTTTTTTTCTCCTGTGGTGAAAATTATTAAGATATGCCCTCCCAGCAACTTTCAAAAACACAATATGGTATTAACTGTAGTCAACATGCTATATTATACATTACATCCCCAGGACTGACTTACTTTATAACTGGAAGTTGATAGCTTTTGACAACCTTCACCGAGTTCTGCCACCTCCTACCCTCACCTGTGACAATACCATATACTATGTTCTTTTTACCTAAGAGTCTGGGCTTTTTCTGTTGTTGTTGTTAATTTAGATTTCACGTACAAGTGAGATCATATGATATTTACTTCATTTAGCATAATATCCTCAAGGTCAATCCATGTTGTTGCAAATGGCAGGATTTCCTTCTTTTCATAGCTGAATAATATTCGTGTGTATGTGTGTGTGTGTGTGTGTGTGTACACACATACAACATTTTATCTGGTCATCCACTGACGGACACAAGCAATTTCCATGTCTAATCTTAAATGGGCTCCCCCTGGTGGCTCAGATGGTAAAGAATCTGCCCACAATGCAGTAGATCCAGGTTTGATCTCTGGGCTGGGAAGATACCCTGGAGAAGGGCATGGCAATCCATTCCAGTATTCTTGCCTGGAGAATCCCATGGTCAGAGGAGCTATTTTAAATAATGCTGCAATAAACATGAGGGGGTGTAGATATCTTTTCAAGTCAGTGTTTTCACTTTCTTTGGACAAATACCCCCAAGTGGAAATGCTGGATCAAATGCTGCCCAACTGTTCAGGGTGATGATGAGGGTCACATGGGTAATTAATGTATGTATGTATATTATAGACTGTAAAGCTCTCCAAAAAATATTATAATTTTTGATTTACTACTCTGGGAACTAAAAGCAAACTACCGTGCTATACACAAATACTAATATAATGTCCTTATAAACTTACTGACAATTATGGCAGGAGCTGGTTTCTTAAACCATGTTAATTACACTCTACCTGAATTTTGCCAGGTCCATTTCTATAGTGTTACAGGCTGCCCAAGAGGGAAGACTATTTCCAGCCAAAGGGGCTGGCACTTGAAAAATATTAGTAAATGGTCCTAAAAACAAGGCACTTTGCTTTATTCACTTTTAATACTAACCCTGCACACACACACCCCTTTAGACAGCAGTGACAGGAAGAGGGCAGGCAGGCCTTACCAACCCTCTCAGCTCTTCAAACAACACTTGAGGATTTCTACTTGAAGGCCTGTCTTTCTAAGCTTGGGCTTTCAAAACTTGGGCTGGACCGATCCCAAATACTGAAGTAACAAATATTACTAAATTCTGTCATTTCCTCTACCAAAAAAAGTGATTTTACTACTACTTCTGGTTGTGATGAAAGGTCCTATTGACTATTCAAACCCTCAACCAAGTTATGGATGCAGTATTAAATGACTTCACTCCTTTTTCTCTGGCACTTTAACACATGCCAGTGCTTTCATCCACCTCCACTAACATGGCTTATAAATTACTGAGGTGGGGTCATTTTAATAGTATGATTTGTTCACATCTCTAGAGATGGGGTATAAATGAGACTGGCTGAGAAGACAAACTCCCCTTTGACAACATGTATTGGTGTATGTGTGTGTGTGTGTGTGTGTGTGTGTATAATTAACCTTCACAAATTGGAAGTATCTTATTAATATAATACCTGGTTAGGAGCCATAATAATTATGGTTCTGTGATTTCTTATAAGCTGAAATGTAAGAAAGTGATCGTAGTAAGGCTAAAGACAAAATGGTGTTAACGTGAAAAAAGTTGAAGGTCACTAATTTGTTGAAAGTTTCTTTTTAAACGCTCAGAAGAGGCCTCAGGAATGAACTACGAAACCTAAGAAAGTCTGTTTATAAGAAGTTTACTGTCGTCTCCTTTTAAAACTGCCATGACAGTGATGAAAAACACTAGAGAGCAAGACACTTGCTCCCCGTGGAATCAGAGTGGTTAACCCACTGCACACACACGTATTGCTCTCTGAATTTCAGAGTATAAAGTTGCAGAAGACACAAAATTAGTAGAAGTAATCCATTTTTTAAACAGAAATAAACTAGCTCAGCATACTTGTGGCTTTAGTTCTGTTAAGGATAAAATTAGAAGTGCTCTAAAGTGAGGACCAAACATTGCTGGAGCGGAGTCTGATGAAGAGGGCTGGCTGTCCCCAGTTTTCCATCACACCCAGTCAGCCTCCCTCTTGGTCTTGTTCTCAAAGGAGGCGATTCTTAGCACTCCCTTTATACCTTACTTTGCCATTCCTACTGGACCTGAGAAGAATTAAGTGTGTATGTGTGTACATGCATGCATGTGTGTGTGCACATGTGTGTGTTTGAAGCTGGGATTTATGAGGAAATCCAGGCATTTCAGCCTTAGCCTTAATTAGGAGTAGGTTTCACCTGGAAACTTCTAAAAGACTCCTAAAAGACTGACTTAGGTCTTACCTGTTTAAAGCAAGAAACAGAAAATAGGGCCAAGAGAGAAGAACCTCTGAACTTGGATCAGAACTTAATTCTACTAAATGAGGACAACCTTCCTCACATCCTGACTCCCAGACTCTGGACCCCAGTGTCCACATGCTCTTTTCCACCTTGGTTGACTTCACTGCAGGTGCTCTCTAATTTACTTAGATCTCTTCTCCCTTAATGCATCCTTAGTCTGGCCACTGCTTGACAGTTGTCATCTAAGCATTACCTTCTCTAAGGTATGACAGCTGTCATTAGTAATGCGAGAGGCACAGACTTGAAATTAAGGTCCTGTTTCTTAGTCTGAGATATTCTTCTGCCAAAATTGCAGCGAGGGAAAGCATCAGTTGTGGGGAGAATGGCACATGGAAAGATGAGTCATGGGCTAGAGGTTGCGAGCAAGGCTGCCTGCGCCTGGAATGAAGAACACGAGCTGGATGGCAGTAACAGCAAGAGCAGTGTTAGTGTGAGGTTATAAGCAAATGATTAATCGATGACTGGAAACTAGAAATCTGATTCAGTATTAGAAAAGTTAAGAGTTTAATAAAAACCAAACAACATTAAACTGAAGTTAGATGACAGGAAGAAAGGCAAAGGTGACACCATATGGAAGAACAATTCTAGATCCATCAGAAACGAATATGGGAATTGTTCAGTAAGTCTTTAGAATCATATGGATAAAAAGCAACTCAGCTCATAAAAACATCACAAAACTTATTGCTTCTATATAAAAGAAAGGTCTGAGGATACAGCTGATAATGTCTTTAAATAACAGCCAAACAGTGGGATCTCTTCCATGTGACAGTCCAACTGTAAGGATGTCCGAATAAAAACAAGGCACTGAAGCTGATCTTACTCTACAACTAGAAAATTTATGGCATGTTACCTCTTGAAGTAGAGCCACGTGTGCTAAGGAAATGTGGTGTATTTGTTTCAGGAAAATGCAAACCCAAGCATCTGTTAGCCTTGCTATGGCATATAGAAAGATACTAAGTGAGATGTGAATGGGATGACACTGGGAGAGCCACAAAAACTCAAGATGGGCTGGAAGGACCATGTGCTTGGACTTTTTCTGTGGGGCCTTGGATAACAGGTGAGGAGACTGTTAGGGACTTGCCAAAGTCACTAAACTTTTACTCCATCAACAACTCCCTATGCAAAATGAGTTCCTAGAAGTGGTCTAAGAGAAGAAAGTTATGAGAAGAAAAAGCTACTACCAGTCAAGCTGCAGAGGCAAGAGGTTATAAAGCCCACACATTCAATTACAACCTACTAGCAGGTAACAATTCAGTAAAAGGCTTCTGAGTTTAGCAGGAGGAGTCCAATTTGTACCCATTGCTTCTCTGTAGAATTTATAATGGCACAGAAAAATACTGTGGCCAAAAAATAACTCTGTATTATCATTGTAACTAGTTAAATAGAAGAGTACACTGTAGAACTTATTCATAAAGAGGGTTAGCAATCCAAGAAAGCAGGCTGCCATGTGCCAAGTAGGAGATGAGCACAGAGGGGTTACTTACCTGTGCTATATTTTTGTTCAGAAGATAGACACCATAATCAAACTGCAACTTCTCTCCTCCTTTTGGGTATAATGGAAACCTAAAAAAGGTAAAGTAGGGTCAGAAGTTTTCCAAAACTGGAGTAAAGCAACTCCAGGTAGTTAACAAAGGTGGAAGCTTCTTGGATACAGCATAAATATCTGAAAATTTGGACTAAGCTACTTATATAGTCACTGCAACCTATTATCTTAATATCTTCATAACATTAGGCAGATCAGGATGATGGCAGTTTCATTTCAAAGGAAGAATTGAGTAAGTCCTGCAACAAGAGACTAATAGATAAGATAGTGATCCACCAATCTCAAGGAGCTGAGGCCCCTATGTCTCATATTTATATAGCATAAACTTACCACCCTAAGATTCAGATCCTAGAGTTTTTTTCCTTTAACACTTTGGATATGACATCTCAACTTCTATTAAATAGGAGAGAAAGATTAAGAAAAAAAAAATCACACTTGAAAGCAACATATAAGCTTTCTATTTCTTCTGAGGTGGTTAGTCAAATAACAGCACCAGTGAGCAAAAATTCATCAAAAATTTACATTTACATTACATTTACATTTCATTTACATTCGCAGGGAGTGCTATTTGGATGTTACTTCTTCAAGGCAACGTACTCATGCCATAATGTTCTTCAAAGGTTTTCCATTTTAATCTGACTCACTGAAGCAACAAAGGCATGAGATCTAAAGATCATTATATAGGTGATGAGTTATTTTAGGGAGTAAGTTTCCTTCACTATTTTCCTTCTTCTCCTCCTATAAGTGAACATGAAAAGGTTAGCATGTATCTATGTTCTATCTTATTTTTCCCTGATTCTCCAGACAAATTATACATTTTAACCTCTGCAATAGATTTCTCTATAAACAGATCACAACTTAAATATGGTCAAGAAGGAACTTTACTCTCCTTAGTTTTGCCATATATTACTATTTTAATCTTACAGAAATAAATTACTAGATGGTTTTAATTTCAATTGTGGTTTAACTAAGAAAAAGATACATTCCATAATGCTTGAAGGATATATATTGTTTTCTAGGGAAAATAAAAGAAAGGAAACAGAATTTAAAACTTTATGTTAAATTCTCAAGTTGCTGATATCATAGTGTCCAAAAGGTAAATTTGCTGCACTATAAAATTACAGGCACTGGGGAGCAAGCCAGGTCATGAACTGTCTTTATGCTCTACAGTAGAACACCAAATGCTTCATACACCCATCAAGAAGGTGTAGCTTTGTATTTAATTGAAGCTATAAAAAAATAAAGTAGGACATATGGTTTGGCCCTAAACTGGGATGCATTCAAAATGATAGCAAAGCAAAGTCAGAATAAGCAAAGTGTAACACACCAGGCTTTTACAGGGTATCTGGGAATCATTCAAATTTGTATGGAATAGCTTGGAAAGAAACTACCTAATTGAAAGGATGTACCAGCACAGGGGTATTTTGAAGAAATCTATTAGAGTCCTCAAGCTCTATACTGTATAGTTGTTATTCTATAAATCACTACATGTAGACCATCTGCACAGCTCTCCAAACCCACAATATATCTCCACTTTCAAGTTATAAATGCAGAAACTGTTTCAAATGTTGGAAAATAAATTGAATTAAGCATACACTGGAAACGAAGCCTCTAAATCCTGAAAAATGGATGTTACAACATTGACTTTATTACTTCACTGGGATTTCTTCATAGAAAGGAAGAGCCCCAACGTGTGCATGTACCATTAAAACAAATCTAAAGAGTGAGTAGAGCCAAAGAGTCAAATAGGGAAATTTTAAGACAGATCGAATATTAGGACAGAGTTCACATCTTATATTGCTTTCAAATTCTTAAAACGTCATGTCATGTTGAACTATCACATAGTATGTGGATTTATAGACCTACTAACAAGCAATCTAGGAAAATGAAATCCATCCAAAAGGATAAAACCTATTATCATCAGGACATAGGATACAAATCAAAGGCATTTTAATTCAATATACATAGAGAATCTCCCTAGCAAACTGCAGGTTTAGACAGGAATGTGGTCATTTAAGTACAATAAGAAAAATGCTCTTAGCACAAATAGAACTCATTTAAGGGGGTATTACATGAAATAACTAGAGGAACAACTATATATTTTCTATTATTATACCTTTACAAGAAATGCAATTAAAATGAACAATATTAAATTTTTTCAATTTAAATTATATTGCCGAGTTGTATAAAGAATTCACTGATTCTACATGATAAAAATCAATGAATCAGAAAGCAATAAATAGATTATCCGTGAAGATGGCTTAGCACTCTTTAGTACATAGTAATTTCAGTGTGAATAATTAATTATGACATGAGTACTATAAAGCTAACGTGATTCCAGGCTGTATTAACAGAAACAGAGCAGATAACCAGGGGACATGCTAGTGTCAACTTCTTTGTACTTGGTCAGACTATATTGACAGATTTATGTTCGTTTCTGGGAGTTAAAATTTCTTTTTACAAGTATACAGATAAATAACTGGGAACCTTTCTAAAAGGTATGTTTCTTACAGGCTTTGTAATAATCTCATTTGACTATATAAAACATGCAGTGAAGTAAGGTGGTCCAGTGATTCTGTTATTTTAAAAAAACTGTCTTGCCTCAGTCACCTACTTAGTGGAAGAGACATGATCTCAGCATTGGGTCTTCAGTTATATACTCAGTATTCTTTCCCTGGGTCCTTTAGAGAATACCCAGGATGACTGGAAGAACAGGAGACATAGTTTTGAGAGAAATGGTTGAAGGAACCAGAGGTGTTTAACCTGGAGGACAGAAGTCTCATGGACAACAAACGAAAGACTTTCAGAGAGAAAAGGGGCTGGTTTGTTCTCATGGCTTCAAGCAGGAAAATCAAAAGTTAATGGTTAAAAAGTTAAAGGAAAATCGATGTCACCACAGAATTAGTTAAAACCCAAACTATCTACAGTAGAGGCAGCAATTAAGAGGCTGAGTAACAAATAATAATCATATGATGAGCTGCAGCGGCTCTGGCGGAAGTGGCCAGGGAGCCCAGTCCCTGCTGACTCCACACTCCCCTTCTTGCTGCTGTAAATGGCTCAGAATCACTCAATGTTGCTGGACCTCCAAAATGGGGACATGTACAGTGGGCACCCGGTGAGCTGCAACAACTGGATGAACATCAACTTGCAGTGAGGATGTGCACTTCCAGGAACAGGGACAAATTATGGTGTGTGCCCGAGTGCTATATCCGCAGCAGCGCCATCAAGCAGCACCTCCCTGATGAGATCATCTACATGGTCAAGGGGAGGTGGCACCAAGGGCCATGGCCACGGTGGCTTCAGCAGCAGAAGGGCCCTGGCAAGGGGGGCTGCTGTACAAGGCGGGATTCCAGGCACCGGCAGAGATCAGCCGGAAAAGCAGAGAGGCAGGCAAATAGTGAGCCACCTCTCTGTTCCCCAGAGACTGAGCCAGCATCACTGGGCTTCTGCTCCCACCCCCAAGGCCACTTTTCTACTCTCCAGGTTATGAGTCTCTTCAGAACAAAAAGACACAGGTGTCGTGAGAGGACCCCGCCCCCCCCGCCCCACCCTGCCTGAAATCTGTGATCTTCCTCCTCTTTTGTTAGCTAGGAGTTCTACAATTGGGCTTCCCTTGTGGCTCAGGTCCGCCTGCAATGTGGCCGACCTGGGTTTGATCCCTGGGTTGGGAAGATGCCGTGGAGAAGGGAAGGGCTACCCACTTCAGTATTCTGTCCTGTAGAATTACATGGACTGTATAGTTCATGGGGTCTCAAAGAGTCAGACATGACTGAGGGACTTTTATTAAGCACAGAAATGTTATTCTGTGCTTCTGGTTTTGTGAAGTTATAGCCAAACTTGATTTCTGGAAGATTCTCTGTTTAATGCATCTTTAAGGTCAGGCATTTTCCAAACAGGTTTGTTTTGTATTTTGTGTTATATGCCTGCGTGGTGAACAGCTGGGAGGTTTTTATTTTAAGCTGTTTGCACTGAGACTGACAGACTGGAGAATTTCTTGAACACAAACCCCAAAACTGCCTTTTCAAAATGAACCCAGGCAAACCTTGGCCTCAGAAGCTGTTGGGGGGATGATGTTGGGCCCTGTCCCTTTGCTTCCTCTCTCCTTCTGTGTAATAAAAATAAATGCAAATACAGCTACAAAAAATACTAACTATGCATTCAGAGGCCTATGGTGGCTGAATGGTGGCCGCCAAACATGTCCATATTTGGAAACCCACAACCTGTGAATGCAACATCATTCAGAAAAGGGGTAAAAATCTTGAGATTAGAGTATCCTTGATTATCCAGTTGGGCCCTAAATCCAGTGACTGTCCTTATAAGGACACAGAGGAGGGACACAGAGAAGAGGAGACGGCCATGTGAAGACGGAGGCAGAGATCTGAGTTACACAGTTACAGGCCCAGGAATGCCTGGAGCCAGAAGCTGGAGAAGGCAAGGAAAGTCTCCCCTAGAGCTTTCCATGCCCTGATTTCAGACTTCTGGCCTCCAGAACTATGAGGGAATAAATTTCTGCTACTTTAAGTCACCAAGTTTGTGATAATTTGTTTACAACAGCCCTAGAAACTAACACAGGGGGAATCAAACACTGGATGGCCCATTGCACTTGATGAGGTATAATATCTCATTCATCTCCAAGATCCTGTAGTTCTGAATATGCCAAACTAAATATATTGAATACAACTTCACATTTCCTTCAAGAACTGAGAAAATATTTCAAGAGTATAATGCCATAGGGTCATCATGATAGGCATCAGCTAAGGCTGCAAAGAAGACCTACTAAAGTGTCAGCAAATAAAATGTCAGAAAAACAGATTCCTATGTATGTGCTGAAAGTAGGAAAATTTTAAAAATTTATACACACACACAAATTTTATATGATACATATTCAAATAACTTTATGTGTGTATGTATATTAAGAACATGCTGCACTCAATTTGGAAAAAGCAATATGAAATAAATTTATTTTGAATCTTTTTTTTCCCAAAAGATACAATTATATTAAGCCTTTTCCTCTCCTTCC